GAGGAAGCCAATATCAGTCTGGTACATGCTGTTATTTCTTCTATACACATTGCCCATCTCTTTTTCTGCGGACTCTAACCATTGGTTCTGTTTATTTCCTCCCAGGCCGCTGTAGGAGCAGTCGATATAAACTCTGCTATTGGTCATGTGGATAAATTAGCCGATAATGATGATGTTAGTGGTTTCTTCTATTTAGAGCGCGCTTTTTGTTATGTATATTATGGACATCCTCCTAGTTAACGTGGTCGTTGATAGCAGGTTGCTATGGGTGATGGTTGCAAAGACAATGATCTCATGTAAGTTTGCAAATCAATTCTAATTGGGATTCTGCGTTATACGGAATATCATTAACCTTATCTTATTAACCTATTATTATTCGATATCATACTTTAATGAGATGACTTTTTAGGATTGTGCCGGTCACATCTCTGCAAAAGTTGCTCGGGGGAACATTGTCTCGACCACCGATATTGTGAAGGTTAATTAAGATATTGACACTTTCAGGACAAGTATAGTGTATTTAGTAAGCCCTATAGATAACAACATTTAAAGCCCACCCGATGAAAAACACTTGATTATCATTTTAATAATCAACTCTTATTTTGTGATTCTCTCTCAAAATTATGATAATTTAATGGTTTTATTTGTTAAGTTTATTATCGTACTTATAATTAAACTCATTACCTCTTCAGATGCATGTGGTATTGTTTCAAATGTATCCCAAATGCGTGAAATCACTTATGTGGATGGAGAAAATGGATATTTATATGCGGAAAGCGTTGTAACCTTCACATTCACATATGAAACGTATAATAATTATGTCTTCCATTTATTCAAATATTATGTTATTAGTTTCTTGGTACTTCACTAAGTTGATTTTCTGATGTTCTCTTCTACAGGCAAAAGGAAATCTTATCTCTTATGGACTTACGGTAGGGAAATCCGCAAGAGAATTTCAAAGCAGTTGGGAGGATCTTATCTTTAATGATTTGGTAGATAAACCTATCATGTGTATTTTGCGTTTCTGGAGAATATCCGAATTTGAAGGTTATAATTTAATTTACTTCTTAATTTTATTTTTAAAAAATAAAAATAAATACTTAAGTTCAATGTTTATATTATTTTCTTATCGTATATCATTACTAGGTGAACAATGTATCATTTCACAGTATGGATGCTCCAGAATCATATTGGACCAAGAGTTTGAAGAAATGAACTTGGTTATTCTACTGTAAGTACCCAATTAAGATGATTTGTGTATTAAAATTATGATCATCCATTACAGCCTTACAAAAACATAGCTTATAGTACCATTAAACAAATGTTTTGACCATAACTATAATGAAATATGTGTTTAATGTTGGTAGAGGAAGTGAACGACTTGCTGAGTATACGTGGGAAGAACGCTAGTGTAACTATGAAGGATGTTGATTAGACGTTTTAAAATCTCTATTTGTTTTGGACTCAGTTTTTAATTTCATTTTGTTGTTGTCTAGACAATGTTTTGGGATGATTTGTGTTATGTTTTGTGGTATTAATTTCATGTATGATGATTTGTGGTATGGACAAATTTTAATATATCATTATTAGTATCTTCATATTTTATTTACAATTACGAATTAGTCATATGTTTTTGTTAACTAGAAACGTCTAATCTTACCTGTCAAACTTTTTCAAAAATTAATACAATTTAAAAGGCCTAAAAACTATTTTCGAAATTATGGGCCATCATGTTCAAATAAATATCCAAATATTACGTATATTAGGCAACAATTATATGTGAGACCCCGGTTGCGGAGAAGTATAAATGAATTGATTTGGCAATCTATGTCACCAAAGTACACTTATCTTTTCGGTCAAAGGTACTGAGAAAACATCACTTCACAGTTAAGCGTGCTTATGCTGGAGTAGTTAAATAATGGGAGACATTCCGGGAAGTGGTTGTCGGAACTGTGTGAGTGAGGCCAAAACACAGGGAAAGATCATGTGGTGATTTCTACGGTCGGTAAACAAGTATTTAAGCCTCCAGGACGTAGCTAACCGACCGCCGGATATTGATGGACTCATGGGCCTAGTAAGAGGATGTGAGGCCCATTAAGAGAGGTGGGCCCATGGGCTGGTGGTAAACATGGGGCCCACTGGAAAGATGGCGGTCGGGCGTTACACATGGTATCAGAACCAAACCCAGACAAGTGTAAAGTGGTGGGCTCACACTGTCAGGGGGTGACGATCGTTGTGCGAAACGAGGACGTTGTGGTCTATTTGTGGGGGAGAATTGTGAGATCCTGATTGCAGAGAGGTTTAATTTAATTGATTTGGCTACCTATATCACTAAAGTGCACTTATCTTTTTGGTCAAAGGTACTGAGAGAACTCCACAGTTAAGCGTGCTTATGCTGGAGTAGTCAAAAATATGGGTGACCCTCCGGGAAATGGTTGTCGGAACTGTGTGACTGTGGCCAAAACACAGGGAAAGATCATGTGGTGATTTGTAGGGTCGGTAAACAAGTATTTAAGCCTCCAAGACGTAGCTAACCGCCCGTCGGATATTGATGGGCTCATGAGCCTAGTAAGAGGACGTGATGCCCATTAAGAGAGGTGGGCCCATGGACTGGTAGTGAACATGGGTCCCACTGGAGAGATGGCGGTCGGGGCATTACACTATACCTGCCGTAAATTTCGGTTTAAAATATTTTCTGTTAGTTTACAAAAGTCATTCGTTTTAAGATATTCTTTTCATATATATATTTATTCATACATTCTGATGTTTGGAGTGTCTCTAATTCTTATGACTCCTCACAATAACTTACTAATTTGAACATACCGTTTTTTGAACATCCGAAAAAGGTACGTCTTGCAAAGAATTACTATATTATATAAATTAAAAATTAGTACGAACTATTACTCTAAATTGTATATATGTCACACCCCATAGAGTGACGGTTTGCAAATGACAATCGTGGGTAGTTTACAAACAAGTTCTCTCTTTGGCCGTAATAAAAAGGAAGATATAGATGATTATCCCATCATGACTATTGAGGAGCATCGTGCAACATATGATGTATATAAACGTATTGTTTTACCCCTAATTATGTCATGAATAAATTTCAATGTAATCATATAGTTATAAATTGTTTAAGGTTGGTTGTTGTCGAACCCTTTGTACCATTACGGAAAATGATACTGACTATTCTTGTTTCTACTATGCATGTAAGAAATGCAAAAAAAAAACCATCAAGTAGGACACGATAAAGCTAGAAGATGTTAAAAACAACCTATACCTAAATTCTGGTGTGAGACGTGTAAAGATTACGCTAAAGGCGTATTGTAACGCCCCAACCGCCATCTTTCCAGTGAGCCCCATGTTCACCACCAACCATGGGCCCACCTCTCGTAATGGGCCTCACGTCCTCTCACTAGGCCTATGAGCTCATCAATATCCGATGGCCACTTAGCTACGTCTGAGAGGCTCAAAGACTTGTTTACCGACCCTACAAATCACCATATGATCTTTCCCGTTTTTGGCCTCGCTCACACAGTTCCGACAACCACTTCCCGGAAGGTCACCCATCCTTTGACTACTCCAGTATAAGCACGCTTAACTATAGAGTTCTCTCAGGACATTTGAACGGAAAGATAGGTGCACTTTGATGACATAGGTGGCCAAATAAATTCATTTAAACCTCTCTGCAAATTGGGGTCTCACAATTCTCCCCCACTAACAGATCGCAACGTCCTCGTTGCGCACAACGATCGTCACCCCCTAATAGTGTGAGCCCACCAATCCACACATGTCTAGGTTCGGCTCTTATACAAATTGTAACGCCCTGACCACCATATTTCCAATGAGCCCATGTTCACCACCAGCCCATGGGCGCACCTCTCTAAATTGGCCTCATGTCCTCTTACTAGGCCCATGAGCCCATTAATATCCGACGACCGGTTAGCTACGTCTTAAAGACTTGTTTACCAACCCTACAAATCACCACATGATCTTTCCCTGTGTTTTTGGCCTTACTCACATAGTTCCGACAACCGATTCCCGGAAGGTCACCCATCCTTTGACTACTCCAGCATAAGTACGCTTAAGTATGGAGTTCTCTCAGGATCTTTTACCGAAAGATAAGTGCACTTTGGTGAGATTGGTGGCCAAATAAATTCATTTAAACCTCTCTGCAAACTGGGGTCTCACACATATCCCCTAAGTGAGTTTAATTTATTAGATTATTTAATGACATTTCACCTTTTTATTATACATTGTTAACTTTATTGTTTTATCCTAAACATAATGATTAGGTTTTGGGTTCAGCTTAAAATCATGGATCATATTTGTGAGACAAGGTGTATGATATTTGACAGTTTTGCTGAAGAAATCTCTTGGCACATCTGCAAGTGCAATCCTTAAAGGATCATTTGACCTGGTATATTATTTATTATAAGTAAATTCTATTAACCCTCTCCATATTTACTTATGAAAAATGTTCATAAATAAAATCTCAATTTGTTTTCTTCTTTCAATGTGTGTGCAATCATTTTTTAGTATAGAAGAAATCATTTACAAATTTAAACATTTACAAGACTATAATTCACATTATTAGCCACCATTCTTTTAGCGTAACCATATTACTATTATTCAAGAAATAAATTATTACCCCCTAACCTTTTATGTATATTCTCATAAGTTTTGTTCTCACTAAAAGCAAGTTGAGAATATAAATGTGACGATGAAAATAGTTATTATTGTGATGCTGTAATAATCATCTCTAAAAGCGGCGATGTCGAACCCTATCAGCCCTAGGGTTTTGAGCGTGACAGATCAAGATGTGTGCATGGATGATGACGGTCGGCCACCAGAAAGAGTTGTGGGGTAGGTGAGTTTGTGGGTCGAGAAGGTGAGAAGTTCTAATGGCAGTGGGATTCCAGTTCCGGAGAAAGTTTTAGCGGCTGAGTTTGTGAAGTCAAGGATGCGTTTGGCGCTTCCGAATGGTGTGGAAGGGGAGCATGTGTGTGTTAGACTTGCCGAGACAGTTCTTCATGGTCCGGTATGACGCGGAGGATGATTACATGGCAGCAATGACGAGTGGTCCTTGGAGAGTATTTGGTAGTATCTTGATGGTGCAAGCGTGGTCACCGACTTTTAATCTCGTTTGTGAGGAGATTGTGACCACGCCGGTTTGGGTTAGAATTGCGCATATCCCCATTAGTTTCTATCACGAAACAATTCTCATGGGTATTGCTGAACGAGTTGGAAAGCCACTGAAGGTGGATCTCACGACGTTGAAGATGGAGAGAGCGAGTTTTGCTCATGTTTGTGTAGAGGTGGACCTAAGTAAGCCGTTAAAAGGTACGGTAGTAGTTAACGATGAACGGTATCATGTGTTTACAAAGGGTTAACAAACATATGTCCCACGTGTGGTGTGTATGGGCACACGGTGTATGCCTGTTTGAAGAAAATTGTAGAGCACCGTCGCAGCGTAGTACCGAGGAAGGTCAGGGTCAGCAAAAAGAAGTGAATAAAACGGATGGGCTTACAAAGGTGAGGAGTAAGAATAGGCGTGTCGTACCTTTGCAAGCTGGCGTGGTGTCCTAGGATTTAGGAGGGGAGCCGAGTCGACCACTAGTGGAGAATGCCCACATAAGTGGGACTGCTACTGTCGGTGTTGCAAATCGGTTTAGTGGTCTGCAAATGAATGAGGCACAGGCTGGGGAGCGGGATATCATGGTTGAGAGTGAGGCGAATAAAGAGAATGTGGATTGTCAAAATGTTGTGCGTTTTGGAGATGGAAGGAGCCAGACAGAGAAAAAAGTTAACGATTTGGGTAAAAGTCAAGGAGAGGTGTTAGAGCAGAGAATGCGCGGTAATAGAACATGGCGGAATGTTAGGCATAAAGGAAAGCAGTTAGAGCCACATGCTCCGGTGCGTGGCTTGATTTTTGGTCCCATACGAGGTAAGATGGGTAGTACAGCTTCTGGAAAACGCCTCCTAGTTGAAAATGAAAGTGTGGGTCAAAAGGGAGGAGTGTACATCTTGGAAAGTGGAAAAGACGGAGCTGAGAGAAGGCCGTTGTAGATCTTGGAGAAAACAATAGTTAGTATAAATGTTGAATCTAGTGGGAGTACAAGTTTTGAGCTTCCTTTTGAGGAGGGGTTGGTTGCTATGGAGAGGGAGAATGGGGATAAATATTTTTCCCTGTCTGTTCTTTATAAATTTAAAGAATTTATTTGAATTGTCTTTTATGTAACTGCCGGGGGCGAATAAACCCAAATTTCGACGATCGATATGATATATGTTGAAGAAATACGACACGTATGTCATTGCATTATTTGAAACGCATGCAGGAGGGGAACACACACAAAATATTTGTGAAAGGTTGGGTTTGGAGAATTTTTTAGAGTGGATGCGGAAGGAAAAATTGGAGGTCTATTGTTGCTGTGGAGATCCAGTGTTGGGAGAGTGTAAGTGCTGGCTTCGTGAAACCATGAAACCTTTAAGGATTTGTTGGCAGCGTTGTGGGATACAAGTGTTTCAACACCGCATGCGCTTAGTAAACTTCAATGGAAGCTTAAGAAGTGGAATAAAGAGGTGTTTGGTGATGTAAATAATCGGAAAGAGAGGTTGATGGGTGAGATTAAGGAGATCCAGGAGCGATTGGATGTGCAGCAGTCAAAAGATTTATTAGCTAAGGAGGAGCAGTTATGAAATCAGTTTGAGAATGTGCTAGAACAGGAGGAGGGTATTTGGTTCCAAAAATCGAGAGAGAAATTTGTTTTGTTGGGTGATAGAAATACATCTTTCTTTCATACGTCCACAATTATTCGGAGGAGGAGGAATCAAATAGAATTGTTGAAGGATGATGAAAACAGGTGGGTTTCGGAGAAGAATGCATTAGAGAAGTTGGCTCTAGATTACTATTCGAGGTTGTACTCTTTGGCAGATTTAGGAGAGGAGAGGGAAGTGTTGCCAAAAGATGGTTTTGTGAGCTTGAGTACGATGGAAAAGAATGCATTAGAAAAACCTTCCACGTCTGAGGAGGTGTTGGCTGCAGTTAAGAGTATGGGCCGGTTTAAAGCGCCAGGTTCGGATGGCTTTCAACTAGTGTTTTACCTAGATTGTTGGGAAGTTGTTGGAGGTTCAGTTTCAGATATTGTGTTGAAGTTCTTTGCTACATGAGTATTGCCGAGTTCAACAAATGATGTGTTGTTAGTCTTACTACCAAAAGTAGCAAATCCGGAACGAATAACACAATTTAGGCCGATAAGCTTGTGTAACGTGTTGTTTAAAGTAATCACAAAGATGATGGTGATTCGTCTGAAAGGGGTTGTCTCGAAGCTTATTGGTCCGGACCAAGTTAGTTTTATCCCCGGAAGGCTGATTATCGATAATATCGTTATCGTTCAGGAAGCAGTTCATTCAATGTGTCGGAAAAAGGGCGTAAAGGTTGGATGTTATTGAAGTTGGATCTTGAGAAGGCTTATGATCGTAAACGGTGGGATTTTTTAGAGGAGATGTTGGAAGTAGCAGGGTTATCCATTGAGTGGGTACGGCGTTTAATGGAATGTGTTACAAAACCGTTAATGACTATTTTGTGGAACGGAGAAAAAATTGAACCGTTTCAACCAGCTTGTGGTTTACGCCAAGGAGATCCTCTTTCTCCATATTTATTTGTGCTTTGTCTTGAGAGGTTGTGTCATCTAATTGACGCAGAGGTGAACAAAGGGAGTTGGTAACCGGTCAAACTTTCGAGAGGGGGTCCGAAACTGTCTCATGCGTGCTTTGCGGATGATATCATTTTATTTGCAGAAGCGTCTGTTACTCAAATTCGAGTGATTCGGAACGTTTTAGAGCGGTTTTGCTTAGCTTCGGGAAAAAAATAATTTTAGAAAAAATCAAAAATATTTTTCTCTCAAAATGTAAGCCGAGATATGGAGAGGCTGATTAGTTTGGAAAGCGGGATTAGCTCTACGAGGCAGTTGAGAAAGTATTTAGGAATGCCTATTTTACATAAGCGAATACATAAGGAGACTTATGGGAAGGTGTTGGAGAAGGTCTCATCTAAACTGTCCGGTTAGAAGAGCCGCATGTTGAGCCTAGCAGGCCGGATTACTTTATCGAGGACGTTTATATGGGGTGGAACATCTGAGAAGAAGAAACTTCATTTGGTAGCATGGAAGAAGATCTTCCAACCAAAATCAGAAGGTGGTTTGGGCTTACAATAAGCGAAGGACATGAACAGAGCTCTCCTTGCTAAGGTGGGCTGGAGACTGCTTAGGGATGAGACGAGTTTATGGGCGAAGGTTTTCAGAAGTAAGTATAAGGTGGGTGATGTTCACGATTACTTATGGGTTGTGCCAAAAGCTACATTGTCATCAACTTGGCGGAGTGTGGGTGTTGGTTCAAGAGAAGTTGTTTCACGTGGCTTGGGTTGGGTGCCGGGAGATGGGAGATTAATATTGTTTTAGTCGGATCGATGGATTTTACCGGAGCCTCTATCGAGCTTTATTTTGGTTCCTTTGCCAACAGATGAGGCAAGTATGGAGGTTGAGGATTACTATCTCCCCGAGAATAATTTACAACAGTTGTATGCCGTGGTTCTATCTCCCCGAGAATAATTTACAACAGTTGTATGCCGTGGTTATTGAGAGATCAGTTGTCTTGGCTGGGAAACTCCAATGGTTGTTTTAGTGTGGGTTCCACTTATGCTCTCTTGACGCAGGACAACGCTGCTAGGCCGTGTATGGAACGATTTTTAAACGGATTTGGGCTGTCGAGGTACTGGAGAGAATCCGAGTCTTTCTCTGGCTCGTTTCTCACCAAGTGATTATGACTAATATGGAAAGAGTCCGGCGGCATTTAGCGGAGAGTGCAGTTTGTTCAGTGTGTCGAGGAGGTTAGTTATAACTCATAAAAAGGTTACCCTCCTTTATTATAGCACATGATAAATAAAGGAATATTCTTTCCAGCAAAAAGAATACTACTTCCGAAAAATTTTCCGCCAAATTTTCCGTCAAAAAGTTTCCCGCCAAAATATGTCAGCCAAATTTTTCCGCATTTCCTTAAAAAACTATGTAAATGTTTTTAAATCCCTTAAAATTCCTCTAAAACCCCTTGTAAATCTTTTAAAAGTCATCCAAAACCTTTCAAAACTTGAGTAAACCGTTTAAAACCATTATAAATCATTTTATAACATTTATAAACACTTGTAAACCCCTTATAACTCCTTTAATAAAAACTTTTGTAAACTTCTTAAACCCTTTAAAAACATTATAAATCCTTAAAAACCATTTTAAAAAACTTGTAATACCTTTAAAAAATTTTGTAAACCCTTAAAAACCCTTTTTTAACTTCTAAAACCCTTTTAATCGCTTGTAAATTCTTTAAAACTATTTTTAAATCTTTTTAAATATCTTTCAAAATCCTTGTAAATCCTTCTAAAACCGTTTTTAAATCCTTGTATGCCTTTAAAAACACTTGTAAATCCTTTTAAAAAACTTTTAAAAATCCTTGTAAATTTTTAAAATCTTTTAAAAATCCTTGTAAATCCTTTTAAAACTGTTATAAACTTATAAAAAATTTTAAAAACCCATTGTAAATCATTTAAAAACCATTCAAAAACCTTTGTAAGCTTCTAAAACCATTTAAACCCCATTACAAATATTTTTAAAAAAACCATTTAAAAACTCTTGTAAATCCCTTTAAAAACCCTTGTAAACTCTTTAAAAGACCCTTTGTAAATCCTTAACAAACTTTGGCGGGGAAACAAACCAAATAGTGGATTTTGGGAAACTAAAGTGTATGATTTGATTGATATGGCAACCACAACGAACAATATTCTCTTAAAATTCTTGACTTTGCGGTAATATTTTTGGAAAGTCAGAATTCTTTTTCTATTATTAATTGAAACGATACATATGAAGAGTTACATATCTATATATATAAAGGTAACTTTTTCTCTCTTCTCCTTATGCCACATCATCTTCCACATCATCTTTCACATCAGCTGCCACATCATCATTCATCTTAATTTTTTACATTGATTTAGAATTATATCACTTTAGTTTTTAATTTCTTTTCTACCTCATAACTTAGCCTTTATTTTATTTTTATATCCAATAGTGGTTTTAAGAAAATAAATAATATAGTAAAAACATTTATGTCCAAAATAAATAAAACAAGTATCTATTTATAAAGTAATGATCAATTTTTTATTAATGGGGCTAAATACAAAACAAAATACAAAAAAAGATATTTATACTATACAGATAGATATACCACTAAATTGATGTCATCCAAGCCACATCAAACGAGAACACAACCGATTTAAGGCATAAGAAGTAGAAAAAAAAAACTAAAAAGTAAAATAAAAACACTTGGATAAATAATTAAGTGGATTCACCAGAACAATTTGGCCTACAAGAATTGAAGGCTTTTGAAATGTAAGGTTCTAAGAGCTACTATTTGACCTAAATCAAAGTTAAACAAATAACAATAAAAATTTCATATACTAAATTAATACAAAAACAAGAGTAAAAACAAAAAAAAATAAACAAAAAAACAAAGAAAAATCAAATATAAATTTTAAAATATAAAAAAATAATTATAAAACTCTCGCGCGCAGCGCGGATCAACAACTAATAATCAATATATTAAAGACCTCCTTTTGTTACTTCCATTAACAAAACTTTGAAGAAGACGAAAGATCTTTACCCTAACCTCTTAAAACTTTTTCTATTCAAAACAAAAAAGATTAAAACCGTGCTAACCGATTACATCTCTGATTTAACTCCAAGAAAGAGTGATTGGATCATAAGGGTCAACGTTTTGAGAACTTGGCATACTTCTGATTTTTTACAAAGAGGGTTTTTGTTGTCGCTGATGTTAAGGTAATTTACTTTTCTTAGGTCACATTTACTCGTATACTAGCAGATTAGTTATTGAATTAGGTTTAATTAATCGAACAAACCATTTTTTTTAGGGTGATAGAGTTGAGATGACAATAGCTCCTGGTATCAAGAATCCTGAATTACCACGACACATTTATGATGGTGAGTGGTATGATTTAAGATACTTTA